TCATTTATGTGGACTTAGCTTGAAGCTTGTATCGGTGTTCATATAAAGCAAGGCGAAACCTCTTAACAGTGCATTCGTTCCCACCAAATTAAGTGAAGCTAATATAGAATCTGCAGTTTTGCACTAGCCTGAATATGAATTTGCCTCATAATGAGCCTTTCAGTCCAACGTTGAATAGAGAGGCAGAAATCATTGCTCAGCTTCCTTCTCCTTAGTTACAGATTTTTCTAGCTGACCAACTGTTGGCAAGAAGTGCACAGTGCCAATTAAGGGAGAATTTGTTTCTGTTTAAACAAGTACAAACACAAACATAGTGTGATGAATGAAGCACTGTCATGTTGAGATAGCGAATCGTCTGAAATGAGCAAGTTAAGAAGGTGAATACCAGTTTAGTTTTTAGTTCACTCTGGATAAGGCTTTCTTCCTCCTCACTCCTCCTTGAGGAATTCCATGGCTCCTTTCACAGCGACCACTCGCCTGTCGATCATTCTGACCTGAGAGAGGAGAATTCACTTCAAGCTGGCGTACATACTCTCTCTCTCTCTCTCTCTCTCTCTCGCTCTCTCTCTCTCTCTCTCTCTCTCTCTCTCTCTCTCTCTCTCTCTCTCTCTCTCTCTCTCTCTCTCTCTCTCTCTCTCTCTCTCTCTCTCTCTCTCTCTCACACACTTGCACTACTCCACTCTCTCTCCCTCCTCTTGCCACTTCCCTCTCTATGGTCGGCATAGCAACAGGCGTCAGGCTCGTCAGAGATGGCACTGTGGTTTGTTTCTCCCCCTCTCCCAGAGTCTCTCCTTTCTGCTTTCTTAGTCTACATTTGCCAACAGTTGGTGCTGTCGACACGTACTTCAACAGGTGTAAAATGTATTGAGAATGAGGAGCTGAAGGCTTAGGCCTTTAAGACTCTATATAGAGAGAGCGATGTCTGCCTCCTCTTGAATATGATGAAATTGGACAGCACTTGCTTTAAGGTGGTCAAACTATTTTCCTCAAACTACACATGACACTGTGCAAAAGGAAGAGTGAATCTGCCCATGACAAGAAGCTCATGCTCACAACCAAGTGGTTAGATTAATAGCTTCCTACTTTGCACAGCCAGCTGCACTCTTCTTTTAGTCGGTAGGCGTAGTTGGGTAAAAGGAGAAAAAGTTCCTCAATGAAGCTGTTCTCAAGTTTTGTGGATTTGTTTGCATAACTGGGCCATGATTCCTGGAAAAAGATACTGCTGCTGAGCTGTTCAGATGCATTTCATTTGAGCACCTGAGGCAAGTGCCATATAGTTTCACTGTGTTCAAGAGAAGTTAGACACCTTTACAGCCGGTCTCTTGAAAACTGGGCACTGAGACCATCTAAATAGAAAAGTGGCACTACGGGTCAGAGAAAAGACATTTGTTTCTTTTCATTTTTTTGGAGAGTGAATTATCCCTTCAAGGCCAGTCCTTCATATTTCATTGCACCAAATCCTTCACGTCTGAGTCAATCTACTTTAAACCTTGACTATTTATCCACCTGCCCGCCTCACTGCCTGTCTGTGAGTCTGGCCTCTGTGTCAAGACTCAGATGGTGACTAGTGACTTTGTAAAAAACAAAAAAAACAAAAAAATGTTTCCGAAAAAAAGTTGTTGTGTTAGCATGAGTGGCCTCCCTCATGTGCTGTGTGTGGTGTGCCATTATGTGTGAAGATGTGCGTGTGTCCTCAGGTCATTTGTCAGGTTTTAAAAGCACCCCCCCCCAACTCCTACCAGACGTTCCCTCCTTACACTACTCTGCTACAGTACGATGTAGCTCTGAAACCAACCAACCAACACATCTTACTCTATCTCTCCCTCCTGTCTGATAAGAGGCCTGTATTATGAGGACAGTTGGTATTAGTATTTTGCACTCTGCTCGCTGATCTTAATGCACTTGCAAGCATGGCGGTCTCACTCCAGTCCAGCACAGGCTTTGATTTTGCTCCAGGTTTGCAGCCCATTTCCCATCATGCGCTCCCACTGTATCTGCTAAAGCTCACTGAAAGCACAGGTGGCACACACACACACAGAAACACACAAACTCATGCAAAAGTCCCCTCATTTTCAGCTTGCCAACTTCTCCTGGGTGGCAGCTAAAATCAAAGCATTCATCCATCCTTGACTGTGGGAAGTAAAACGTGGAGCAGGTCCGAGCGACGTGGGCTGGAGTGCGACCGGCACGCTGGTGTGGGGAGTGATTGTGTCCTGTCAGCCTCTGGTTAGTGTTCTGTTCTAATCTGCTGGGCTCCCTTTGTGAACCTGTGGACGGTGCTTCTGTTCCGAGTGCCATGTGAGAAACAAACGCTTCAGTTTTGAAATGAGAAAAAAAAAAAAAGATGTTTTACTTACTATGTTATTTTGATTTACCTTTATATTTTTGTTCGTTTGTTTGTTTTTTGTTATCCAAGGGTTTAAAGTTCAAAGCTCATACTCTTATGTGGGGACTTGCCAACCTGCACTCCTCTTTAAATGTGATGAAGTCTTTCTGTTGGTTTAAACCATGTGTGCCAAATTGTATGTATATTCCTCTGTCCATGCTTTGAATATTAACAGTGCATAAAAAAAAATATGAAGAAAATTCTGTTGTTGGATGCATTTCCGTCAACCTTGAAGAAAAGAGAAAAAAAAAGAAAAATTCACACAAGTTGTCACATTGTGTCAGATTTATATCCCAAAATGCTCACAGGTGCTGACAGAATTTTGCTGCAGTTTATAAAAGGTTTAACACAATCTGTATTTGGTGATTGGTTGTAGTCTTGCTGAAGCATAGGCCTGCATTGTGCCTCTCTCCTTACCTCAATCTGAGATGTATTTAGTAAATGCTTTTCGCTGTGTTTTACCAGGTCTCACATCATATCAGCCCCAATAGGATGATTCCCTCTGTTGGTTTACAGCTATAACATCAGTATTACAGTGAAGAGGAACAAAACATGGTGGATTTAAGACTCAAAACTCCACCGCACCAAAAGACGGTCGTAAATCTGCAAATTTCCCCCAGCTCCAAAGCTCTGTGCTATTCCTCTCTATGGATTTCTTTTCTTTCAGTTTGTTTCCAAAATGGTTTGTATAACAAGTGAGGGACCAGATGTTTTTTACACAGCTGTGCAGGGAAGCCAGTACTGTAACACAGCTGAGCACAGCCTCTGCTTATTGGCTAATCATAGCTCAGTTCTGGCCTGCCCCAGACACAACATTTCCGCTTTGCAGTTGATCTCAGTTCACTCAAGGATTATTAAGAGTCATTCCTCTTTTCCTGTGCTGCATCTGCAAAACCTCTTGGCCGGTGCAACAGTTGCAGTCCAGCAGCCAGCCAAAAACTCCTCTCCATATCAGCCTCTTCCTTCTGCATACACATTCAAAGAAAATAGAGCATTACTTTGACATCTGGAATTTGAAATTGCATGCATTCATCTGCATGTGGAAAACAGATTAAAATCCCTTTTCTTTTTTCTTTCAACATTTTCCCCGGGGTACTTTTGAACTGAGATGCCTTTGACATGAACTCAATCAGCGGGGTGGGTGTTTCGCGTCTTGAATTCGGGTTCAAGTGGATCCGTCGGTTAAAGTAAAACCCACCCCTTCCTACTGTGGCCTGCAGCCTGAGAGCTTTTCCACCGTGGTGAAGCTGAATTGTAATCTCATCTTGAAATGGTTTCCCAGTCATTCCAGACACTTATGCAAGAGTACTTAACAACTCAGAGATGCAAGGGAGGAACAAAAAAAAAAAGTATTTCAAAGTTTTCCAAAAAAATTAAAGTGTTTTGTTTTTTTGAACATTTTAGATTTGATTATACTGTCACTCATAGTTTTAGATCTAAAGAAAGTGAGTACAGTGAGTGTTGTATTTCCAGCAGCTACTTTTCTATCCGTCTTGGCTTGAAGCTGTAGTCCCTCACACCCACCCACCGTTTGCTTTGTGGTGATTTATTTCTTCTATATGGTTTCTCAGGTCATTCCAAACAGCAGTTTTCCCTATGTAGGAACCCACTTAAATCTCAATTTACTAACACACACATCATTGTTTCACTGAGTTAACTGCACAAACTGTCACACCGATTTTCCTTCACAGTACTCACATTTTAAGTAAGCTTTAGTGTTCGAAGTCAAAAAAGGGAGGATGAAAGTGGCTTAGTTCCACATTCAGAGCCACTGTGTTCGCTACACTACAAACTCAAACGACCACATCTGCCTGCAGCTATTATCCTTAGAAGTCGTTTTTGAGATATTGCAATGCAGCTGCATTGCAGAGATGCTAATAATAATAATAATAATAATGGATTGGATTTATATAGCGCTTTTCAAGGCACCCAAAGCGCTTTACAATACCACTATAGAAATCAACCTGTTGGGTAAGGAAGTACAACCTGGCTGGGCGTGTCATGTACAGTACTAGAATGCATGTTTAGTCAACAACAACAACAAAATAAGGCATGTGTGTATGTACCGTTCTGTGTCTTTCACATTAGTTTAGTAGTCATGTAGTTGTGTGGTGTGTGTGAGAGAGGAGAATGCCAGCCTGCTGCCCCCCTGCGTCACCTGAGACCCTTCAGCATGGGAACCTCCATGGCAAGCTGGTACATTTACAAGACATCTTAACCTATCTCTGGGAATGCTTCAGAAACCCACTTCACATCCATCCTACTACACACCTGTCAGTGACCACTGGTAACTTTCTACAAGGCATACCCAACAGGTTGATTTCTATATTTCCTATACTCTGTCTTTTCTTGTCTTGTTTTGGACAAGAAAGGACAGAAACTCTGTCCTTTTTTTTTTTTTTCCCCCTTCTTTGTTTTTAAATGGTTGCAAACACACTTTCTCGTCTCAACTTTGTTTTTTAAACCCTTTGAATTGATGCTGCTTCTGTGCTTGACTCTGGGTTTACTGCGTGGTGCCATGTTCTCCACATGGCCTTTAGAGCTTGTAACGCTTCAGTGTGTAATGTTACCATATGCCTTACATGTTTTCCAGGACTAATAAAAAAAAGCATAATAAAAAAAGACAGGAAATGTGCTTTTTTATTTCTGTGCCCAGAAGCAAAGACAGATTATGAACAATTAATTTATTAAATTCAGAATATTTTACAAATTACTGTCTGTTGTTCCTAAACTAAATGATGACTACAATCACACAGTGCGGTGCAAATTATTTGGTCTATACAGTACTGTGCATATTGAAGACTTTAATATTCATTTGTTCTGCAAAATAACCTGAAACGGTATTTTAAAAAAATTGTCATGTGAAATACTATAGGCCCTTCACTCTTGAACAACTTGTTAAAAGAAAATTGGTAAAGGACGTTACAAAATTAAAATTCAGTCTTCAATGACTCCATTATTTAAAAGAGACTACAATTAAAGGATGGTCAGATATCAACATCTCACTATAACAAAGTGTGATTGTCAACTAATCAAAACCGCAAAACAGTGCTGTAAACACAAAGATCGCCAATATACTGCTATTTTTATATATAAAACAAGGAAGAAATACATTTTTTACATGTTTTAATCATGGGGCTTTTCTGTTGATTCCTCAATTCCAAGGGAGGTCAAGACCTCAGACAAGCGCGTCAAGTAAGTGGAATCTGGGTACCCATTCCTGAGAGAGACAAAGAGAACATTGTTCAGGTCAGGTCCATGGACTGACTATGACCTTTAATTCTGCAGCTCTCTCAGACATCCTCGCTGGCCTCACTCACCCTGATTTGCCTCCCTGTAAGCTGGTCTTGTGTGGGATGCCGTCCCAGGTCACCCTTGCATCTGTCCCTTTGCCTGTCACTGTGAAGGTGAGTCCCTGCCTGAAGGCTTTCTCCAGCCTGGGCAGCAGCTTCTTTGTCGGCTGACAGTCTGGAAAGTAGGCTTCAAATAGCCCTCCCTTAAATGGTTTTCCAGGAGATGGATGCCCATCCTGATAAAACGCAACACAAAGAGCGCAGTCATGAACAAGGTCTCGGTATTGCAGTGTATAAGCTGAAAGGCAGCCTATAGCTGCATGCTATTTTGCAGGAGAAGGTCAGAATTGTAACTGCAGCCTATTTTATTTTAACAACAAAATAATGAATACTGGCTGATATCTGCAGATCTCAGCCGATCAAGAAACACACATATATGAACTCATAGCAACAATGTGAATCAGAATATGCCTCTGAAGTTTAGCTAATTCTTTCTTGACACCCTGTAGGAGTCAACTAAAACACAGGTAAAAGACAAACTAATGCTTAAAATTAGAGAAATCATAACTCAGAGCTTTAATATGTCTGCACACACCTGATGTGTAACAAGGGCTCTGTACAGAATTGAACTATTTATAACGGATTTAAGAAAAGGTCCTAACTGAGCAGCCTTAAATGTCTCTGAAATGAAAGCTTAGAAGGTGCGCCAGTGTAATTTCTCATTCAGATAAAGCACAACAAAATATCAGCGAGAAATGTTTTTAAGCCACTCACCGCTTGGATACCATCAGGAATGCTGTAAGTGATCTTGATAGTACAGAACTTGTTGTAACCTGGCAAAGTGATGTTTAGTTTAGATTTTACAATTTTGCCCAGGATGCCCCGAGGTTTCTGCTCCGTCTCATGACAAACTCTGCAGCGGACATGTACCGTGTCCAAGCACTTTGAGCAAAAAGTAGTTCCACATTTTGTTCTCTGCACAGATATCCCAGTTTCTCCACAAACACAGATGTTCCCCAGCCTCTCCTGGCCTGGTTTGGCTTCCCCTGGGGTGTTCTGGATCTCTGCTTCTTCTTGACCTACACTGCCTATCTGCGTAGCAGGTAAGGTGGTCCCTTTCTCAGTGCGGGTTAATGTTGATCCGACACCATTCAGACCCCTCACACTATCATTTCCTGGTGTAGACTGACTGACAAATGACTTAGCCTTCTGTCCATCCATCTCCATTGGATCTATAGGCTTGACTTTCTCCTTAATGACATGATCTTGCCTTGCCAGACCAATAGATCCACTCACAATCTCCCTCCCACCAAAGTCACTTCTGTAGGTTGTCCTCCATTCCCGACTCCTACTTGTACCATCAGCATTGCCTGGTTGGCTCTCTCTAATCACCTGAGAGTTACTGTTAAAGTGCAAGCTAGTGCTTTTATCTTCATTCATTTGAAAAGAAGTTGGGGAATATTGGTATTTGTCAGGTATTTGAGCCGAGTCTCCAGAAAATACTTCCCGCAGGGTAGCACCTACCTGGGAACACAACTGCCGTGGACCAAGAAGATATAAGCTCTTGGCTAATATCTCGATAGTAACCTTCTTAAAGCGGCTCCGCACTTCAGAACAACAAGCTTGTAAGGTTTCATCTGCTTTGTCAGTGATACCCAGTTCAGACAAGGACACCTCCTGCACAGAGAAGTCTGAACTAACTGAGTCAACCAGCTTCTGCAAACCTAGATGACATGAAGTCACTTTGGATGAGTTTGCTCCTCTTATGGTAACAGTCAGCTCATGACTACCTAAGCTGCTCTCTTTTAACTGGACATCAGAAGCTAGATCTTCCACTCGGTAGCTGTATGATTCTTTTATATGTTTCCACATTATCCTGGATACTGTAAGATCTGCAGTATAGACTTCCTGCTTGTCCCTTCCTGTTTGGGTACTGAAGCTAGAAGACCTGCCCCTGGCTCTGACTGTGGACTTGCTGCTATCTTCTTGACTCTTCTGACTCATAACTTGAGCCTTCTGCTGAGGCGTTCCTGAGAAACTACTGGCTCGCTTCAAGGTGGATCTGGATCCAGCAGACTGAGGTGCAGGACTTCCTGACAAACTGGACTGTGTACCACTAAAAGGGGATGATGAATTCTTAGGTCGAGCATCTGTTAAATCTGGATTCAAAGAGGTTCTATTTTGAAGCGCGGAAGATGCCAAACTAGATCCAGTCTTGAACAAAATGTCTCCTCCTGTGTTTTGGGGTACTGCTCTGGAAACTGCCTCACCAGAAGTCCCTGCTGTTTCTGAGAGTACATCATACCCTAACATTGGCCCTTGGCGTGTTTGTCTGCTGGGAGATGAGTTTGTTCGTAAAGTGAAGTCAGCTGGTCGACTGCTTAACGCAGCTAGCCCAGAATCCTTAAACCGGGCAGCTAATTTATACCTTCTGGCTCCTTCAGCTCTTCGTTCATCTTCCTCTGACTTCAGCATCTCATCTAGCTTATCATCCCCCGATGCTACAGTGGAGGGTGTGGGGAGAGTGAATCTCTCCTCATCAGTCTGAGGGTATAAACTTGAACCATATGAGGGAAATCTCAGGAGACTAGCTACATCTTCCTTTTTATCTCGCTGGTTAACATTGTCCAGGATAAGAAACTGCTTGGCCTCTGACACATCACTACTGCTTCCAATAATATAAATATTTTTTTCATCTTCATTCAGAATAAGTTTGGGAAGTCTGACACTTAAGTTCTCAATTGCCCTTTGCAGGCCTCCACTGGGGTGCAGGATAGCTTTGGGCAGCTGGGATCGACGGATTTTGGCCTCAATGTCCTCATGAAGCTGACTTATAGCCTTTCTGGCTATCTTCAAGCGCTCCTCCTCTAGACCATCCTCCCCAACTGCTGCTGTAACATGCAGAAACAGAGTGGTCAAACCCTGACTTGTTACATCCACCACTTCAACCCCATACTGCTTCAGGATATGCTGGTATTCCTTCCGGCAGTGTTTCTGTAGGTACTGAAACATGTCTCCATCCATAATTAGTGAGAAATCATCCGCAGAGGTTGTAGAATGCTGCAAAGCAGCTCCATCTGCCTGACCAGTGTCCTCCCAGGTATAACCACCAGGTGTCAGGTCTCTTTCTGAACTTAAACTGTAGTTGTCAGTTGGCCTGTCAATGTGATTTTTTTCTTTGTTGTCTCTTTGCTTGTTGGCTTTTCTGCTCTGATCTTCTGACTCCTGTGTATAATGCTTCTGTGCTTTTTGAACAGACCGGAAACCACTGGAAGTAGGCTGACTCAAGTCTTTTGAGTTTTCTGCTGAGTTTGAGCCTCCAGGATGACCCAGTAGTTGTGCCAAAGCTGCCTGCACTGTGGAGTAAGAGCCAAATATTGTAGAGCATTTCTCAGTAGCAGTATAGTTGATCTGGACATCGTGGTGGCTCTGAAGAAGGCTTGTCAATGCCATGATTCCCCCTGGAAGCTTGCTGTAGTCAATTGTTGCTGATAAGCTTAAGACGACCTATGATGATGAGAAAAAGAAAAGAGAAAAACAAATTAATTACTAATAATTTTACACTGTATCTGTTGAAATTGTGCAGAGCAGCAGCTAAATCTACCTGATCTGGAGCGAAATCTTCACAATGCTCAGTTACCGTGAGCTTATACTTCTTCCCATCCACATCCAGAACGTGTAGCCTGTGGTGAATAACTCTCTGTGCCACTGTGCGAGAGGGGTCATCAGAGAGAAATCAATCACAGTCTGTGAAGCATCCTGACTAAGTGTTTCTACAACTGGCCACTCCATTGACTTCAATGCCAACATTCCAGTTTAGTGTAAATCACTGGTGGCAGCAGACAGTGTAGTACAGTGTATTACTTTTGTAAATGAATGCCATCTTTGGTTGGTTTACAGTTGTTTAGTGTTAATACAGTCAGTATAATATGTAACTAATCCACCCTATTTTCCTTCGGGATTAATAAAGTATTCTGATTCTGATTAATGAACAGTATTTTTGCAATGAAAGACCACTGACACAGAACATTTAGTTATTCAGACAGTAATCACTCTGATCTACACAGCAGATGAGGAGACGTGAACATACACTGAACCTACTGACCTCCGCTGTCCTCGAAGGTGATGAGAGCAGCCAGAGGCGTTGCCTTGAGGAAGGTGACAGAGTCTACTTCCCCTCCTCCATTTCTTTTTCTAAGGAAGTAAATCAATAGCTTGTCTTTCAGTGTGTTATCCTCGATGTCTGTGGGCAGTCCACACACCTTCACAGTCCTGCCTGGTTCTGCCATCTGCTGGAAGAAACACAATCACTGTTGCTGTGAGAAGGAGAAAACTCGAAGCTGAATGCAAGGCTAAACACTAAAATGTTTTCATTTTGCATTAATGGTGAACATGAAAATCAAAATGATGATGGCTAAAATTTAGAACATGACATCTCTCAGTGAAAGACCCCACAACTGTGAATAGGAATTGAAACATATTTGATAGTCCAACTCCCTCTGTTGGGGGTTACCAGGAAAGTACATCAACACAGAAAACTATCCTCAGTTTCCATCAACAGAGAATATTTTTCATTAAATTGTAGGGAAAAAATGTCTAGACACTTTGCAGCTGGTTATTTGAAGCAACAGCAGGCTAACACCAAAAAAATATATCATTGTAATGTCAAAACTACTGAGATATCCAGACTGCTATGTGGAAACGAAAGACTAGAAAACGCGTAGACTTCGTGTATTGCGTACATGTTTGTCCAATATCAACAGGAGTGTAAATTTCGTGTGTAAAATTGTACCAGTGAGGTTAACGCCCCTTACTCCCCTTCTTCCTGCTTCCCACGACTAGTCTGTAACTAACTGACAAATAATAAGCTGCTCTAAAATGCCTTTTTAAACCAGATGTTGCTTGTAATACACGGCAGATGTTACTGGATTCAAAGTTGCCAACACCTGTGCTAATTGTAAAATAAATCTGATCAAATTAATAAAAAAATTAATTCAACTTGCGAAAAAGAAGCGCTTTTGTGTGCTCGTGTCTACACGATGTGAAAACACATCTGCGAGCGTTAAGAAAAGCCACACTGCAGCCAGACGACTGTCAAGGAAGTAGAGAAAATCAAAAACATCTCGACTGCCAATCTTCTTAGCGCATATCGACAGATCTTCTATTTGCGCCCGAGGCAGTTACGGTGTGTCGCATTCTTTGGATATCTTTCAGATTTGCAATCATCACTGACCTTAAAACGCTTCCACGACCGTTTCTTGCTTTCTTTCAAAGATCGTCACTCTTTACGAGCAATGGAAGAAAAGTGAAACTACCGGTTGTGCGATTTTTCTTCCCCGCGCTAGGGGGCGACAAAGTGTCATGTGAGTCGGTGCGTGCAGAAGTTTGCGGGTCTATTATCTGTATCATACAAATTCCCAAACTGTTCCTTTATACGTGGTTATTATTATGATTAATATTAGTAGTAGTAGTAGTATTTGTTTGTTTGTTTGTTTATTTGTTTCTTCTTTCATCTGCCTTTTTTAGGGGTGGCTACGGTGGTTCATCTGCCATCTCAATCTGTCAGCACGATTTTTTGGGCTTAATTTGTGAAAATAAATAAATTAATTAATGTATAAAAATACAGGAAAGGTTCTGGTAGCCCACTGTCCAGATTTTCAAGTAATTATAAAACTGAAAGTTCTTGTTAATTCATAGAAAAAGTAGTTTTTTTTATTTTGCTGTTGACTCATTGTAAAAAAACTGAAACAAGAACTGTCATTTCTTTGCAAATCTAATACTTAATTACATTAATGTAGTATGAAAATGACATGGTCTTTATCAGTAGAAAGAACTGTAAGATTTGTGAAAATGCAGGTAAAAGTCCAAAATTTATGTCCTCCTTCAAGTTTGCCAAATCAGTCTAAGGGGGCAGATTGGAGTAAGGCCCCCGGGCCTTACATTTGACACATTTGACGCTCTGGAGCATACCTCTTACCTCTCTTTTCCAGTTACACCCTACTCTTATACTAGTATTCCTACTACTACTACTACTACTACTACTACTACTACTACTACTACTACTACTAATAATAATAATAATAATCTGACCTCCCTGACATCCTCTAGTTACAACAAGAGCCAAAACGTTATTGTCTAAGGAATGTAAAATACAGTCTTGAGTCTGAGTCTTAGTAACCAGTATACTGATGCTATGTAGCAATATGTGTTCTGTTTTCTACATTTTAATCAGTATAAGCCAAGAGCGGATGATAATAATGTATTTTAATTATATTTAGGCGAGCCGCAGTCAGTAGGTGGCAGTAATTAGTTTGAATACTGACTAAGTCATAGAAGAAGAAGACTGTTTTGTTACGTCCAATCAGATGCTTTGTTGCTTCATCCAGTGCGCAGGCGCTGTGTAGCAGATATTTCATGTGCTGTACGTCGTGTCCGGTGGAGGTCACAGACATCCGAGCAAAGTGAGGTAAGTTATGACATACGTTATGTGTGTGACAGTAAAATTACTTAACTTTTTATCGAAATGTCATTGTATTAGCCATTGGAAGTGAAACGGAGAGACGTTTTATGTGCTATTTACAAGACAGGTAGTGTTACAAGATTAAACGAACACGAGCGACCACTTTGCATCAGCGTGGGATAACATGCGTGCAGTCACCCGGCGTGCAACTTGGATTTACCTGTCGCACGCTTTTTAATCGTTTTACGTATCTTATTGTCTTATCTGTAGTATTGCATCGGCCTTAAATCTAAGCTGCGGTGCTCTGTTTAGTTATATGTGCTTGCAAGATGTCTCAGTTCAGTTAGTAGATAAGCTAATGCTAGCTAGTTAGCCAAATTAGCTAACAACCACAGCCTTGGTGTCAGTCCAGCTCAAGGCCAAAGCCAACTGTTATTTGAAAGAGGGGATTTAGCCTGGATTTCCAAGGTCCGTCACAGGATTATGGTGCATTGCGTAAGTGTAGAGGTGGAGATGTGTAGAAAGACATTCAAAGTGTTTTCATTGTCACCAGGTTGCTGTCATGGCCAAGTTATTTGAGTCCATTGGGAAGTTGGGGCTTGCCCTCGCCATCGGTGGAGGTGTCGTGAACTCAGCCCTTTTCAACGGTGAGTCCTAGAAAGATCCATGGTCTAATGGAATTTTACATGTATAGGAAAACATGCTCAGTCATCAAGCATAAAAATGATTAATTTGGTAAAAATATATATTTTGTATAAACCACATTTCCGAAAGAATTCAAGAGGTTTGGGAAGGCAGCAAAAGCTAATGAATAGCTAGCTACCTGATAGTGTTGCATGCAGATGAGAAAAGCAGTTGTTTTAGTTTTACGAACATGTGTTATTCTGAAGTGAGATTTTGGTATTACACTTAGGGTTACACTTAACCTCTTTTGCTAATTTAGGATGCCTTTGGTCTACTCTGTGTAGCACCTATATTAGTTGCCTTTGTTTGGTTAAGCTGATGAATTCATCAGCATTCCAGATCATAAACGAGAAAAACTGACCTTGAATTTATTCCTATTTATTCTATTTATCCCTTTTGTATACTCTTTATTTATATATGTCTCTGTATTTATATATGTGTATATATGGTATTCTGCTCACGTTCTGTAACTTCTGTTGGTGCTGTGCTATTTGGAAACTGAATTTCCCAGAGGAATCCACCCGAGGGATTAATAAAGTTCTATCTTATCTCTTAATAAAAATAAAATTAAAAAATAAATTTTTCATGTTAAACTATTTTTTCTATATGTGATTCTCTGTCCTCCTCGTTGCAGTTGATGCAGGTCACCGGGCTGTGATCTTTGACAGGTTTCGAGGTGTTCAAGATGTTGTTGTTGGTGAGGGAACCCACTTCCTCATCCCCTGGGTTCAGAAACCTGTCATCTTTGATTGCCGCTCCCGTCCACGCAATGTGCCTGTTATCACAGGCAGCAAAGGTATGCAAGCACTCCAAGGAACTTTAGTTTCTGCAAATTAAGTGTTTGTCAAACTAAGAAGGCTTAGCTTTGTGGTGTGGCGAAGACTTGAATTAGCCACTCTTAAATGTTTAGTTTTTCTAACATTAAAAGACATGTAGAGGGTATGTCAGATGTTTTTGAACACTTAAATTTTCCAGTTGTTACTGAAATTTATATAACTCGGTGTATGCTGAAATAAAGTGTACAACAGTAACAAAAACATTTAGAATTAAAAAATAATAATAAATTAAAAGAATCATGGAGTGCCATATTCTAAATTTGAGACACTCTTCAGATGAATCTTGCCATTCCTTCTACAGTGGCAGTGTAGCCAGATTTTTCCCTAGAACTGCGTGCTTTGCTCTTACAAGTTGTTTTGATTTCAACCCAGAATGCTGTGAAGTGGAATTAATGGGTTAGCAAGTTCTGTCTGATGGCTCAATTTTTAACTGGCTAGAATGCCATGGCAACTCTGCACTGAGATCTAAAATGTTCTAAAAGACATTATCATCAGTTTGTTCTAGCTGAAGTTATATTTTGTAAGAGCAATAAAGAGTCTTAACTGAGCAAATATGTTCATACACAAACCTCTTGAGCTGTGTCTTAGTAATATGAACAAAGAAAACCCATTGTTACAGTTGTGTGTGTTGTGTTGCATTCTAATATAAATGCAGTAAAAAAAAAAAAAAAAAAAAAAGAAGAACCACCAACAGAAAGAAAGAAAAAAAAAAATATTCATATGGTAAAATAAGAATAGCCGTGGGGGCTTTCCATTAATAATTCAAAAGTCTCTAAAGGGCATTACAAAGTGATGAATACTTTGACCACCTGTCAGTATTGTTTGCATTCTCACAAACCATGGTTATTTAAGTTTTGAGATCATGATGGTTTTGAGATCTATTATTCGACGTCACACTTGGGGTTGACCTACTTTTTAAATCTATCATCAGTTGTTTGTTGCACACTTGTTTGGTTAAGTTGGTGACTGTGTTTTCACAAGGTATGTGGTTATAGGGCTTTATAAATGTTTTTTTTTATACTTTGTCCTGATTTATGGCAAAGTCTCTTTCATTTGATTTGGTCAAGAACTTAAGTGTTTTCTACTTGGCCTTGATTTGCTTAAATGGACTTTCTGAATGTACAGAATTAAATGGCAATGTTAAGTTTATTTATTTATTTGGTGAATTCATGACTACAATCATTCTAGTTCTTAGCTGTAGCATTAAAAAGCATTTATAGCTTAATGTCACATACGCCTCTTGACCACTGTTCCCTCTAAGCTGAGCCCGTGAGCAATCGTGCACTGCTGACACAGTCTACGCGCACAGAAAATCAGCGAAATAAAATAAATACATGTATTTACTTTCATTCCAATTCAGGCTGGTTTTTTTTTTTTTTTTTTTGCACAGCGCAGATTTTCTGTGTGGGGAGACCATGTTAGCAGTGCGTGATTGCTCACGTACTCAGCTTAGAGCGAACATTGCTCTTGACTAAACTAGGTACATTTTGTACAGAAGAAAAGTGAAATGATGCACTCCCCCTTCTAGTGTTGCGCACACACACAGCCTGATGAAGAAAGTCTGCCATGATATAAGTTCACAGCCGCTGCATTATTGGTTTTTCCTGGAATTGTAGGTTTTGTTGAACTAGCTAATACAAAGAAAACATTCAATTGTGTTGAATGTCCTTTGTAGTTTTGGCCTCAGTGCATCCCAAAACAGCTGAGGGAATTTAAATCTGGAGACTAAACTTCCTGCCATGTTCTACCTTTTATTTATTTGATTCAGTTGCCGCCCCCCCCCCCCCCCCCCCCCAACACACTATTCTGATAGCTATATTATTGCCCTTATAATGTGCCAGAGGTTACTGTAACATGATTCATTGCAATGCTGCTTTTGTGTTATTTAAACTGTCACAGGTTTGATTTAAAAATGTGGAAAAATAGGAATGTTTGAACCCACAACTCTCATTTGATTTGATAACTGTGTAAACATTCCCAAAGGAGGAACTTGTTTGTTTGTATTTTACACAGAAAATTTTAGTCCATGAACACAAACACTTGTTTTAATGTGTAGGCCAATGTATACAGTGTGATTAAGGTCTGAACCATTCACCCTACAGATCTGCAGAACGTTAACATCACGTTGCGTATCCTCTTCCGGCCGGTGACAAACCAGCTGCCACGCATCTTTACCAGTATTGGTGAGGATTATGATGAGAGGGTGCTGCCATCTATCACCACAGAGGTCTTAAAGGCTGTAGTGGTGAGTAACAATCCATTAAAGGCCAAACAAATTGGCTGAATGTATAATGAACAGAGTCAAAAAGCGCTTAATGTTTCTCTCTCTCAGGCTAGGTTTGATGCTAGTGAGCT